ATGAATGCCTAGGTCTAAGGATTGGAAAAACCAGAGGTTTTTAACAATTTACTAAGACACCAGAGTGTAACAGGCATGGAACAGAAGACTGAGAGGCATTTCTCCCCACCTTCCCAAGAGACCACTTTGTCCCATTAGCAGCCTGTGGATGGCCACACACCATGGGCTGTGCTGTGCGAGAAGCCATGGTTCTCCAGTGAAGGGGCTGAGGCTTGGCGGAAGCGGGGCCTCTCCTCATCAGAACGGGCAGCAACAGCACAGAGCTGCCACCGCGGCGCGCACTAGGCCTGATGGAGCCCTGCACCCACGCGGTGTGTCCATCCTGTTAGCACGGGTGGGCTCGGCCCCCTTCAGCCCCATCACTGGAAATGACAGTAAGATGACGGTGGGGGGATCATGGGTGGTGACTGTCCTTTAGGATCAGGCTCGGGTTAGCTGGAAAAGACTGTTTGTACAGGAGAGTTCCAAATGTCTTTCTGAATGACAGTGGCAATACTGGAGTAATCGGGAACAGGCTGTTCTAAACAGAGGTCTGGCTTGAGTCCAAGCTCATGATTTTGTAGGGTGGAGAAAGTCATTGGGAACAAATGAGGAGGATGAAGGAATAGAGAGAGAGAGATGAAAAAGTAGAAAGTAGTTAAAAATAATTGTAGATAAGTAATGCTACAAATAGCATAGAAAAATTTGAAGGGGATAGATAAGGTACATAGGTAGGGAGCTAGGGTAAGGAATAATATCTGAAGGCTATGGAGCTGCATGAGTGAATGCCTGGCTTTAAATCATGCACAGCATCTAGTGGTGTGCTTACCCATCATTTATTTTCAAACCAGTTATTTGCAAATTGTCAAAACAAGCAATATGATAATATAATTACCAACCACGAGAGAACTTTCTGTGATTCAAAGAACTTCAAAGCCTAATTAAAAATTCCAAGGATATAAATGAAAATATTATTTTACAAGTAAGTTTTAAATTATTTTTGAGAAATAATTTGATGCATTATAACCATCATTATTTGCCAATAAGTACATTGAAGAAGTTACTAATTTGATCATTCTTCTTCACACTTCTGACATGTTTGGAAGACATACTTGACATATTTCCTTTTAGCAGATCTCCGATTAAAGAATTTAATTTCAAAGCACTAAGTATTGTTTATGTTATTTTTACACTGGGAACGAGTCTCTGCTTCCAGGGTCACTTAACATTTATTATTAAACACTCATAAAATCAATGGCTGCTCCAGGGAGTGTTAAAAGCCAAGTCTTTAGCTTATGTTGCCCTTTGCTTATAGGAGACTATTTTAATATCACTTTTAGATGTAAAACAAAACTAGAAACAAATTGATCTTCAAAACAATTCACAGACACACATTCCTTTTTATGAACTACTCATAGTTAGGACACTGCTCATAATAATACAGGCTTATCACTGTCTCTCCTTTGTTCGGAATGCAAGAACCTTTCCACGTGCTATTGTTTTTCTACTCATTTTATGGGGACAATTGGAGAGAGCTTTTCAGTTCTCTGTGACCTAAAACGTGTCTCAGGTGCTAAAGACAGGAAATGGTTTCTGTTGCTTCTTAAATTCTGGCTGTTTTTACTCCATTAGGGAAAGTTACTATTGAATGAAGGAGTGAAATTTTATCGGGAGTGAGAGGCTTTAGAAAACTCTGACTTATTTTTTACCTATCAACATTTTCAAGGAATTGTGTTCCCAGGGCTGGACAGTTGAGGCTTGTGACAAAGCAAACTTGAATCACAAAGCAGAGAAAACAAATAATTAAAAAATATTTTGCCAAATAAAAATGATTTGTTAGCATCAAACCAAGTATTTGGCAAAGGAGAAAGTGTCCCTATTTGTCAAATACCAAAGTCCTAAGCTTTGAGGTAGGAATGATAAATGCATGTGCCAACCCAAATCACAGCACCTCATGGCATAAGGTGACCTTGTCACTTTCACCTGAACTGAACTTCCTCTCCCACTTCCTTTATCCTGTAGAACTGGCGTCTTGTGTCTCCTGTGGTTTTCAGTAGTTAATATCCCTCATCCATCACACTTTTATGATGGGACCAAAGATTTGGTGCTGTTTTTAAATCTCAGCAAAATAGTAATTTATGACATTTCTCCGAAAGCCAACATAGTTCCAAGTTTAACAGTAAAAAGGGGAAAAAAAATCACCAGCAGTCGCTGGCTTTACAGCTCAAGACATTGTTTTCTAGAGAATTTAATGTATACAGTTAGGTTCTCTGTTTCAGAGTAAGAATTGCTTTTCAGATGAAAAATTGGTGGAGAAGGCATGTGTGGGTGTGTTAGGGGAGCACACAAGGTGGAAAAATACTGGGGAGTAACGAGGTTCATTTCTCTGTCAGACAGCCAAGTGGGGAGGTAGTTACTCTGAGGACTTCTCAGAGAACGTTGTACTGACATACCAAGAGCTGGGAAAGTAGCAGCAGCTTCTTGGAGAGATTGAAGATGACAGGAGAAATACTTTTCCAGGGAAGTCAGGACTAGGGTGGCAGTGCAGCTTGGCAAATGCTCTGTTCTGATGCTAGAGCTTTAAAAGTGTTGGGTTGGGCCAAAAGTCTGTTACTTTTTCCCTCTATAATAACAGACACATTTTTCATTTTCATCAATAACTTTATTGATTTGGATATTTTGAGTTTTTCAGCTACCTCTCACTACTGGCTTCTAGTGGGTAGAGGCCTGGGGCGCTGCTAAACATCTTCCAATGCATGAGACGGCCTCACAGCAAAGAAGTATTTGGCTAAAATGTCAGTAGTACCAAGAAACTTCACAAACCACTTTTTACACATTCGATCAGTTACAGCACCTTCTCCATACATTGCACAAATATTTTCTTGCATTTCAGTTGTGTCTTTATCTTTCTTGAAATAACCAGTATAATATGCTCAAAATGTTGCATATTTTCTTCCATCTTCAATATTAAAAATGGCTACACAAAATTTACCAATTTTGGTTAAGTTTTTAAAAAATGCACACTGATATGACAGCTATCACAATAGAATGTAAGAAAATTGTTTTTTTTTTTAAGATTTTATTTATTTAGCTTTAGAGGGGAAGGGAAGGAGAGAGGGAGAGAAAAATCAATGTATGGTTGCCTCTCGTGTGTCCCCTGCTGGGAACTGGCCTGCAACCCAAGCATGTGCCTTGACTGGGAATTGAACTGCGATACTCTGGTTCGCAGGCATGCGCTCAATCCACTGAGCTACACCAGCCAGGGCAGAAAATTGTTTTTAATGAAATTAAAGGCAATGAAGCACTACAAGAATATCATACAAAAAAACCCAAAATGAACTTTTTGGCCAACCCAGTATCTTGTTACATCACCACACACGGCAACTCCATGCCAACTAGAGCCCAACATCTGCTCCCTTCAACACTGTTGCCTTTAAAGTTTCTCATCAACGGTTTCTTAGGTCAATTACAGATGTATATTGTTTAACATAGAATGAGTCATTAACGATAGTAAATACAAAATTTTGGTATTAACATATATTCTTGAGGATAGCTTTCCAAGACACAAACAAAGCATTCTGAGAAAATCTTATTTTCTGTTATTAACTTCAGATTAATATTTCAAAACACAAACTCAGCCTTCATGACCCAAAGACATCCCATTCCTAAATGAAGCGTATGAGTACTACAGTCCAAAGATAACTCTTTCACATATTTTACAAACCAGCTCCTTTAACTGTAGATCAGTTCAAACCATCCTGTTTAACAAGACCCAGAAACAAAGTTTAAACCTGGGATACACCACTCACAAGTGACTCTTGTGAATTTTACAAGTGTTGCCCCTTGAAGCCCCATCCTGGATCCTGCATCAGGAAGACAGATTCAGCATTACCTCCTGTGTTCTCACCCACAGATTGGCTGCTCTGTGCCGTGCTCCGGTCCGGCAGCAGACCCTTGTCTGGTAGCAGCCTGAGGTACCTATTGTCTTTACATACTCACACTGCCTTATAATCACACTTACTTTTCCCACCATTGTTTTACTATGGTAAAATACACATAACATATAATTACCATCTTAAACCATTTCAAGTATACAGCTCAGAGATATTAAGTACATTCATATTTTTTCATATTTAACATTTTATTTATTTTGGTATGTTCTGATGATACTGATGAGACATATCATCAAAACTGTTTTTTTACCTTTCATCAGTTTTGATGGTTCTGGTTTTTGATGATACTGATGAGACCAGTATCAATATCATCAGTTTTGATGATATTGGTCTCTAGTTTTTTGATGTTGAAGTACATTCATATTCTTGTGCAACCATCACCACCATCTCTCTCCAGAACTGTTTTCATCTTGCAAAACTGAAACTGTATACTCGTTAATCATCAGTAACTCTCTACTCCTAATCATACCTACTTTTTATTTCGTATACACGATTTCCTTTGGTCTTATCACTACAACTACATTGTAAGCCCCTTGTAAGGAGCAGCTATGTATTACTGGTATAGATAGGGTACTTACTGTCAGGCACTGTTCTAAGTGCTTTGCAAATATTAACCTACATAATTATTCATTTTTGTATGTTCCCGAGGGAGCCCTTAAGTATTTGTGGAATGAATTTCGGTATCACTTAAGCATTTCCAACTAACTCTGGCTGCTATTCTGGTTGGAAAGTTGCAAAAGAAGCAGGTTACCCTGGTACAGTGACTTCGAGAATAGTCTGACATGAGGTCAAAAGTTGAAAGAAGCCCTTTGTTTCAGCCACATCTAGGCCAGGTTCCCACTAAGAAAAGCTAAGAGGGAAAGCTACTGCGGAATCATAGACACTACAGGAAATGACTCAACGCAGATGAAGTTTTCCTTTCTGAGGGGATCCACGAAGATCCCGCGAAGACTCGGGAAAAGGGTAGACCCACGCTGATCCGCCCAAGACTGACCACAGCCGCCGCGCCGGGAGGGGCGGGGCCTCGGCCGGGGCAGGGTTCCGAGGGCGGGGCCCGAGGAGGGAGCGGGGCGGGGCTCGCGACTGCTGCGGGCGGCGATGGCGGCGGACGGGGACTGGCAGGATTTCTACGAGTTCCAGGAGCCGGCCGGGACCCTCCAGGACCAGGAGAACTGTAACGCGAGTCCCGAGGCCGGGGCAGGGCCCGGCGGGGCAGGCGACGGCTTCGCAGCGCTGGCCCGCAGCTTGGAGGAGAAACTGAGCCTGTGTTTCCGCCCCTCGGGTCTGGGCGCCGAGCCCCCGAGAGCGGTCGTGCGGCCCATCACGGAGGGCAGCCTCCTCCAGGGGGACGAGTGAGTGCGGGCCCGGCCGGGAGCGGGCGGGAGCCTCCCTAGCCCCTCGCCCCGTCTGCCGGCCCTCGGTCCCCAGGCCCCGCCCCGCGTCCTCCTTCCGTCTCCGATGGCCCTGGAGTCCGCGCCCCTCCCCGCTCGCGCGCCTCCCTCCTTGGGGCTTTCGGCATTTGCGTGCTGGGCGATTTAAACCCCTCACTCCCTTGCTGCGGATCCTTAAACCTCCACTTCTGTCCCCTTTTTCTCCTGCCTTGAGACGACTGTGGTTTGAATTACGAGGAATCTCCTTGTAGAGCCGGCAGTCAGAGGCAGTTACCTCCTCGGGCACAGGTGTAGCCATTCATTCTTTTAACGAGTATTAAGTGTCCGTTAAGCGCCAGAGGCTGCTTCGCACTAGGAATACCAAGATGACTGACCCTTGCAAGTAGGGCGCAACCTAGGGTGGGAGCTAGATTTGTAAACAAGTATTTGTCTGGGTGTGACAAATGTTCTAATGGATAGATGTGTAAAATTTAGGAGACTTAAAAGTAGGGGTGGGGTGGGGAGGGGGGAGAGTCAGGAAAGACTTGAGAAAGAAATGTGAAAGCTGGATCCCAGTGGTGAGTGGGGGTTTGCTGGGCAGGTGAAGAAAGGCTTAGCATTCTAGCTCGAGGATGTAGCACGTGCAGAGGTACCAATGTTGAAGCAGCGTTCTGTGGTGCAGGAATTTATTGGGTTCACCTGAGAGCCCAGGTACAGCGCAGACCTCTACGGAGGCAAAAACTAAGAGCCCTGGTTAATAGCTGGGCTCTCCTAGCCTGGTAGGGAGACCAGTGCATAAACAGGTAATTATTACAGAATTATTTAAGTGCAATGATAGGGAATTCACAGGGTTTTATGAGAATTGGGGCAACTTTATTTAAGCACTTTGGATTGTAACTATAATTTGGTTAGATAGGGGTTGTGACTATGTATCCTGTATTACCCCAAAAGGTGGTTTAAAAGAACAACAGCCCAACATGAGAGTGAAAAAACTTAAACATGTTGTAATGTCAGGGGGAGGTGCCTCTGAAGAGGCTGGGGGTGAAATTAATGGAATAAATACTGAGGACGTGGGTATGGACGGGTTCTCAGAACTTTGATGGGATAGAGAAATTAGAGTTTAGGGAAAAACTCATCTCATGAGGCAGAGAAAGATCTATGGGCATAGAAAGGGGCTTCTAGCTTGATGACCTCCTTTCCTCTGTGAGGCAGATTTATCAGGAATAAGGTAGGAAGCTTGAGAAGAGGGAGTTGGGAATGGGTGCCTGTAAGTGTGACTAAGCAGTGGTTTGAGCTCAGCTATGCTTGGAGCCTATATCTTTGTAAAATCCTTTTTTAATATATATTTTATTGATTATGCCATTACAGTTGTCCCATTCCCCCCCTTCATTCCCCTCTACCCTGCACACCCCTCCCCCACCATTCCCCCCCCACCATTCCCCCCCTTTAGTTTATGTCCGTGTGTCACAAGTTCTTTAGATTCTATATTTCCCATACTATTCTTGCCCTTCCCTCTGTCTATTTTCTACCTACTGTCTATGTTACTTATCTCTTAATTGGTATCTCTGTACAGTGTTCAGGTGTAGAGGGAAGAATTTATGTTGGGATTTTATACACACAGATATGTATGTACTCAGTGGCATTATGTGACATTTTGGAAATTCTGTTTCCAAAAAAAGATAGAGTGTGTGTGTGTGTATACACACATGCATATCATGCATATTTATATACTCTGAATCATATTTATTATGAGTTTGGGTTTATCAGGAGTAACTTCTCAAAACAGTTTAGTACTTTGTACACAGGTAGTTGAAATTCCTTAATTTTGCTTCACCTGCGCTGTCAGGAAAGCAGTGTATTTTAGCCTTTGTTTAAATCTTAGGTTGATATAAGAACTTAAAATTTTTGTTACTCCTGAACATGGTTTTTAGTAGAAGACATGTTGGTAATATATGTGACTTGATTCGAGAATGCATAAGAAATTTCTGTCTTTTCCAGGATGGGGGCTGGTCACCACCCTCATTGTCCCTGTTCTACTGCATCAATCTCTCCATTGCTCAAGAGTCCATTTCTTGCTCCTTTCACCAGAGAGAGCTGAGGATTCTTTCACTCAGATACTGCCTTACCTTCGGGCTCTTTAAAGTTCTCTGAGCCCCAGTTTTAGTTTTGGTTAAATAAAGAGCTTGTACTTATCTGCTAAGTTTTTACTTTAGAAGGGTCTCATTTAAAATCGTGTAGGATTTAATGTTGAAGGGACTTTGACCTCCGAGAAGAGCTGTCTTGCCAGTTATTTATGACTGCTTGTAATCCTTTATGATAAGGATGAAGGCAATCCAAGTCTTTACTGGAGAATTCTAGAACTCTTCTGACCTTGTTGGAGATAGAGGGCTGTTGGTTATCCTTCTCTTTCTTGAAAGATCAAATTCAGTCTCAGTTACTTTTTCTGGGTGGAGTATTCCACTCCACTTGTCCTTTTATTACAGCCTCATATAAGAAGGGGCAAAAAAGCAGTCCCCAGAACTCTGGACTGCCTTCACTTCCTAGAATATCCTACCTGAATTCCCCACCAGGATTAGATATGTAGTAAGTGATTCAGTATTTGGAAATCTTTTACCTAGGAAGATATGGGCCTTAAACCAGCGCATTTAATAGTCCAGAGGGTTGCCTCCAATTTGAGCGTATTGGCATTAGAGGAAATTATGATACCAACAGAGAGGGGAATAGGCATGAACCAAGCATATGGGAGATTTGGTGGGTAAGTGAGCCAGTTTTCTAGAGCCTTTGGGTTTGCATTTTCACTCAGGCTCATGTGTGTTCCAAAGCCAGACATCATGCTGGGATTTTATGTTCTTGGCAGTGTAGTCCCATTGCTTCATCTCTTTAGCAACAAATCCCAATGCATTAAACCAAGTATGTTGCTTCTTTATTTTGAGGCTAGTGGTCTTGCTTTTGTATCCTAATGGCTCACACACTTGAGAATAAACCCCACCTGATTATGTGACGGCTTATTCACAATTAGATACCTTACAAAATTTAGGGTGTTTTTTCTTTATGACGTGTGTGTGTATCTCTAGCTATTAAGTAGCCTATTTGTGTAGTGTTTAGTTTTACTTCAGCTAAGTTTCATGTCATTTATATCTTTGAATTCAATTTTTTTTTACATACATTGTTGTATTTTATTATGCTGGTTATTTACCTTGGTACTGAAGCCTGCATTTTGGTCGTGAAATTGGAGTTTGCTGTTCTTATAGTGGTGTGCTTTGGGGATATCCTCAATTGAATTCATTGAAATTAATGCTTAGAATAATAGAACTGGGAGGGATGTCTATTTTCCTTGTCCAAGCCTCTCATTTTATAGAAGGGAGGCTAACACATGGGGGGATTAAAGGACATGACCAAGGACTCATTGTCTGAGGAAGAAAGAAGACCAGAGTGTATGTTGCCTGAATTTCGTCACGTGCTCCATTGCCTCATCAAAATGTTGCTTGACAATCAGGTGGTGTAACTGCATTGGGTGCAGCTGTGTGCACTGGAATGTGAACTTCCTCCTTTCCCCTTTCATGTTGTCGGTTGTAGTCCTTAATGTATTACGTTACAAATTAGATATTAAACCTCGATCTCACATTGCGACTGAACCATTTTTCCCAAAAGGATACCAAATCTTTAGTCAAATTATTTACTCTGTGAAATGCTCTAGATGTTCGGGACTTGTAGAAGAAAATTAAGTGTAAAGCCCAGTGTATCTGCTACTAGGTTGGCTCTGGAAACATAACTTAACTTCCCCGTCGTGCTTCAGCTTCCTTGTATGGAAAGTGAGGATAGTAATGGCTCTTCGTAACATTGTTTTTGAGAATTAAATGAGTAAGCATATGAATTGTGTAGAGTAGTGCCTGGCACACAGTATCAGTGGAAAGGGTCAGTTGTCAGCGTGGAGGAGCTTCCCACTTCACTTCACCTGCCCACGGGGCCTCTTGGCAGCCTCATTCTAGGATGGTCATTTCCCCTAAAGGGGGCTCCACTTTGTTGATGTTTCTTTTTCTTCGATGTTTTCCTTTCACTACCGTACTGGGTATTTACTGGGTAGCAGACAGCTGGACTGTTCCCTTTCACTGACTGTGGTTTTCTTCCTGTGCAGGATTTGGAACGCCCTGACGGACAACTATGGGAATGTGATGCCCGTGGACTGGAAGTCGTCCCACACCAGGACCTTGCACTTGCTCACTCTGAACCTCGCAGAAAAAGGGGTAAGTCAGGGATCCAGGCAGTCGTTTCTCAGCTGCTGATTCTGATAATGGACTAGAAAGGAGTATTCCTGACAAAGCAGAATTCGTGAGTCGCCCCTTACTTCCAGGCTTGCAGCAGTTGGGCTGGCCCTCTGCTGCTTGCCATGGTCCGTTTTCCAGCACATTCCTCCAGGCCTTCCCCAGCACACACTCGCTTTTTCACGTTTAGCTAAATTTTCGTCACCTGTATATGAGCATCAGTAACCAGCATTTTCTTTCCCATGTTAAATAACACAGTTTTGATATGCCGAGAACAGTCGGTGAGAATCTTAGCCTTTGGCTTAATATACAGGGTGTGGCAGAAGTAATGCCGTTGAGTGTGGTTGGTAGGGCATGTGGATGTCTCACTTGAGATGAACAGCCATTTGAACATTTCACCTAAAATGTCGTATGGTGTGCTTGAGTGTGATACTGTTATGTGACAGAATCACACGCTGATGATTTCGTAATAAAAGGTTTTTATGTAGTAAAAAAGGCGTTATTTTTCTGGACCCAGTACAATCATGTGCTGCTTAGCGATGGGGATACGTTCTCAGGAATGTGTTTTTAGCCATTTCCTTGTCGTGTGAACGTCACAGAGCACACTCACACAGACCTGGTGGTGTAGGCCGTGTAGCAGGGCCTGTTTGTTACTCCTAGGCTACAAGCCTATACAGCACGTTCACAAAACAACAGGAGACTAAATCAAGTGCAAGAGAACACGAGGCAACCAAGACACACAGTAAATAAAACGTGGCATGTGGGAAGCCTCTGCCTGTAGGCACCTCCTCCATGCTGGAGGCTAAGAATAAGTCTGCCAAGACAGGGTCTGCCTGGGGAGGAAAGGCGCCGATCTCTTAAAGGAGAAGGGCCAGGAGCCTGTTCCTTAAGGGACTTTTATTGGGTTCATTTGCATGGGAATACAGGGCATTTAAGTAAAGCTGTCAATCATTGTCAGGCAGTAATGATCAAACAATATACATTCAAAGAACTATGAGGGCTTGTTCTGAGTCAGGGTCAGATAGCAAAAGGACCATAAAACTTTGGGGAAATAAACTCATTTCATATTGGACCCTTATCATTTAAAATGAGGGTATTAGCAAAGCAGGTTTCACAGGATTTTATATATTCTTTCTCAGGCCCGATCACCCTGGGGAACCTGCCATTTCCAGCATAGGGCCCCACCCACCACCAGCATTGTTTTGTGCTTAAGTCAGGCTGGGGAAGTAGGGCAGCCAAGAGATTAGGAAACTTCTTGAAGAGAATGAGGACTCAGGCTATGTCAAAGCTGAGGGGTGAGGGTCCATCACCTCCTTTTTTTATAGCTCCCCAAGTCCTTTTCTGAGGGCTCCCTCATGACTATGCTTGTCCTAGGTCATCTCTCCTTTGAGGAGTCTTACCTGTCATGTCATTGGCATCTGGTCATCCACTGGGGGCCAGGCAGGGTGAAGGAAAGGGGGCAGAATCGGCGCCCCTGCCGGGGAGATAAGCTTTGTCTCCTTAGTGGCTTGGGGTCCCAAGGTCTCTCACTCAGCCTTAGCCATGGGGGGGTTGCAGCTTCTGAAACCAGACAGATGGGTCCCAACAACAGCACACTGATTTACAGCAAACATTTACAGGTGAAAGGATGTACTCTGTAAAACATTTACAGATGAAAGGATGGTAAACAGTATGCTGTAGTAAAAATGTAAACCAGTATTGTCACTTTTTTGTTATCACAATCAGATGTTATGTACTGTGCATAATTGTAGCACTGTACTTTTCTATGACCGGCAGCACAGTAGGTTTGTTCACGTCACAACGACCACCTGAGTAATGTAGTGCGCCAGGTGTCACTAGGCAGTAGTTTTTCAGCTGCATTATAATCTTAGGGGACCACTGTGGTATATGCGGTTAGTTGTTGACCCAAATGTTGTTATGTGGCATGTGTCTGTATTGGGGGTACTGGAATAGCAGCTGAGTTTATGACTTGCTGGATATAGCATGTTGCCCATCAACTGTATTAGTGTAAATGTTAGGGAACTTTTAAAAGACATTTTAGGTCTTGACTTATAAATGTGTTCTTGGCCAACTGAGGCTGCTCTGTTTGTCTTGGTGTTGTAAAGTGAAGATGCCTTGAGTAAGGAAGATGAGCACAAGTAATGGGATAGCAAGGGGGACAGAACAGGGAAGAGAATTGCTTTAAGTGGAAAATTGCACTGTTGTTTAAAGCTGACGAAGAACGTGGCCAGATTATGTCAGTCTCAGGGCCTGACTGTTGTAAGTTCCTCCTCAAATAGCAGTGTAAGCTCATGGCAGATCTTTTGGCATGCTCTATATTTCATTAGTGTATTTGCATAATTACTGGGAGTTTAATGCAGTAGGCCTGTCAGTATCCTAAATAGCATTGTTAATGTTTTGCGAAAATGATTTTCTTAAATATGATTCAGAAAAGAATGGCGCCATTATTTTCTAGTAAAATACAGAATTCTGACTATTTCCCAGTAGTCTAGTAGATGCAGAATTTGCACTGTTTGTTCTAATTATTAACCCAGTTAAGCTGTTTTGCAGACTGACCTGAGCTACATGTGATGAAAAGGAATGCCACAAAATATCTTATCCTCTGTCTTTTGTTTACTTAGATCCCAGCTATCATTTTGGACTTCGTTCAAGTTTCCCTTCCTCTTTGAAGCTTCCTATTACTGTTTTAGCGTTTGCTGATCTCATGGAATTAGACAGTTCTAGAGTTGGAAGGGACTTTAAAGGACACTTAATCCAACCTCGCACTTGGGGGGACTCCCCATCTACAGCCTGTCTGACAGATGGTAGTTCAGCCCTGGCCTAAATCCTCGCGGGGAAGGAGCATGTGCTCCTCGCTGTGGGAGTCCGTTACCCTCGGGTGTGAAAACCTCACTGAATTGTATGTTCCATAGAATTTAGCCCCACTGTCTCCTGGGTGCCAGACCCCACAGCCCTCTGTCCTGTCTCAGATCACTGCTGTGTTCTCTTATTAACCATGTGTTTCTGGGTCTGTCCTTGGATTAGACTTCCTGGTAGGTATGTTTGTATCTGTCTCTTTAGTGACAGCAGTCTCGACTGAGACAGGTGTGTGTTTACCTTTTGGAAGCATTCTTTGGATTATCCCAAATGTAAAACAGGGCCTATAGGGAATTACTTTGACAATGAGGGATGAAATTTGATTGGTCCTTAAGGCATCTAGTGCAGTCCAGAATCTAACACGGGCACGTTTTTTTCCATGTGAGGCAGCTCTGTTTCCGTAGAGGGAGAGAGCATCACCCCTGTGTGTCTGACCCTGGCACAGGAAGGAGGGATGTTTGGAATGCTTGGCAAAGGGAAGGCGCAGGGATGCCGAATGGGAGGGTGAATGATACCCACGACAGCCAAGGTTCGTTTTCAAAGCCTGAAAGGGATTCCAGCCCTTACATACGCCCTCTCTGTATGGAATGGGCTTGGCTCCCTCCCCGGAATGAGGATCTGGGATCATTGTTTCTGTCGTCATGGAAACTTATGGCTTACTGGTGTCACCCATGTGTTTTGACAGTAGCTGTAAACCGCTTCCCAATCCAGGGCCTTTCTTGACCATGCTTCTGTCTAGAGTGCTTCTCAGTCACTTGCCTTAGGGACACGACCTGTGGCATCTCCTTCCTCCTACCATGAGCTTTTCTTCAAGGACTTGAGCTTTGTTTATGAACCTTTATATCTCTAAAAGTAGAAACGGCAAGAAGATGATAACATCTTACTTGGGAGTAATTTTCAAATTAAAGCTTTTTGTAAGGGACAACTTGTCTTTGAGGGGAAAAATAAAACAAAACTGTGGCCTTCACGTTGCAACACAGAAGAGTGAGGGGGGCTGTTGAAGTTTAAGGATCAGTGAAGTTAGTGTTTGGTCTACTCCACGTCATCCATACACCATCATGGTCGCATTGTGGAATTTTTCTTCTCTGCTTCTTCAGTGTTGAAATCAAATGTCCTCTCCCATCAAGAGCCTAATCTCTTGACCTTTCTCCTTTCTTAGTAAAAGCATAACTGCCATACTTTAAAAAAAGTATACTAGAACCGTAGGACTTACCATGAAAAAGAGGCCTTGCCCCACTTATCCTGTCTTTGGTTTCTACTTACCAGGGGCAACCACTTTCAACCGCTTCACCTGTTTTTTTTTTTTTTTTAACAGATAACATATCATTTTACTGGATTTTACTTTTCAATTTTAGACTTTATCCACTTATTCTGCCCAGAGGATAGAAGGTTTAGCTCTCTCATAGTCCTCCCTCCAACCCCAACACTGTCACCCTCACAAAAACTTCCCTTTCCCCTATCTTTCCAGTATAATCATGTCAAAATATTTAGCTAATTTAATCTTCATCATTTATATTGATTGCTTAAATATTCACAGTTGACCCATTTTATTGCATTATGATTAAATTGTCACTTGTAACTTTTTCTCATGGTAGTAATAATTGCCTTTTGTGACTACGTTATCATTAGATCACTAATTCAGCTTCAACAGAGCCCTAAAACTCATTTTAGTGATTGAAGTGCACCAGATAATCTGTCAGTCTCTCCTGCGCTGTACCTTTCTTTTTCTCGCTGCTTCTCTTGACGCCCTCTGCAGTTAACAGTTCTCACCCGAGCGGTGGCTGTCCAGTTTGGCTCACAGCCGTCATTCTGGGATCCTCGCTGTCATTACGAGTATTCCCTTCACCTCTTCCACGTACTAGATCCCACATCTTCTTTCTTTTTCATTCCCCTCCCGGTTTTAATGGAACATATCCCGCAGTAGCTTTCTGAGAAGGGCACATGAGAGGTAAATTTTTTGAGAACTTGAATGTCTGAAAAATGTCTTTATTCTAAGTCCCCACCAAGTCGTTAGTTTAGCTAGGATTCTAGGGTGCAATTAATTGAAATGAAATTATTAATATATTGATTGTTTTCTACTTTCTGTTGTTGCTGTTGAAAATGCAAGTGACATTTTGATTCCTGGTCCTTTTAATGTGATGGGTTTTTTTTTTTCCTGTCAGGAAGATTTTAGGTTCCTTGTCTTGCATGGTGTTCGGGAATTTCGTGATGGTGTGTGCAGGGCCGGGGCCAGGCCTTCTTAGGCTGATGGTGCACTGAGAAGTAGAATGAGGGGATGCGCCATCTCACTGAGGTGCAGCGTGGAGGTGGCGTGGGCGTGGAGGTGCCGCAGGCGGGAGCAGGTAGACTCCGGTGTGCTGATGCGGCCCCTTCCCCAGGCTGAGGTCACTGAAGCCAGCACACTGGTGTCCCTTCACACGTCTCACCTTGCTTCTTCCTCTGTGGGCTGTGCTCACCGTTAAACTTCCCACGATCCTGTGGGAGGACATAGGAACCTATAATATTCAGTCGTGTGTCCTCAATTTTATGTATATCCTTTGCGTTGGTAAATAAAATAATTTCCCAGGTCAAATACAGTTTTTCCGATTATTTGCTGTGCATTAGAAATACATGGTTACTTCTTATATGGTTCATTGCTGCCTGCGTGTCCTTTGGGAACTCAGTGTGTCCTGCTGCTTCCTGAGGAACCGAGTTCTAATTACGGTTCTTTCATCGTCCAAACAGTCACGTCACATTACCTGTTGTGCAGTGCGTTTTAATCTGCTGAGTTTTCCAGGTAAGGTTTTTACAATGAGTACTAGTACTAAACTCTAAGTCATTGTTAAAGGGGCTGTTTATATCGGTGTGGACAGATTTAGGGGACACCACCGAGGCCTGGTGTGATACCCTGGGGCCGGCAGTAGCAAGCAGTACTTGCGCCACTTGGCGTAACGAGAGAAAGGAGGAAAGAGGTCACCAGAACCTGGAGAGAGTAGCTGTGGAGGAGACGGCGGAATACAGGCCCAGCCCTCACCCTCCCACCTTCCAGCCTCCTGCCAGTGTCTCCCAGCAGTGCTGAACCCAGCTGGAGGCCAGAAAGAAGTCAAGGGCATCCTCTGCTGTTGTCCATAAAGGTCAGCCTCCTAGGGCACAGAGCAGTGTGGAAAATGGAGCTATGGAAAATCTCCAGTGCAATTAGGTTTGAACATGTTTTACAACACAGAGAGACTATCTTTTGGAAGAAATGTTCAACTGAAAGGGCTAAGTGTGACCCTAATGTTCCTGTCTGCCAGGGAGGTCATTACTTCTGTTTTACTTAAATTGTTAGAAGTTAGTTTGCAAATAACTAACTTCATGTTTTCTGTGGAATTTTTGTATATGCCAATCTTACTATTAGATTGTTGACTATGTGACATTTGCCTCCTACCTTGCCCATTACCTCTCCCCGCTTTGCCATAATTCCCTACAACTTCTACCCAACGCCCTATCCCGGTATTTTTGTATTTATCGGTCAGCTTGTTGGCACCCTTCCCATGGAGAGAACAGCTGAGTGTGTGTCTGTAAGATGCTTGCAGCCCTGTAGCAATGTCGTATTTATTCTGCAGGGTCCAGCAGGAGTAACGGCATTGAGTCTGATTGGTGGGGTACGTTAGTGTCTCACATGAGAGGGACAGCAATGTGAACATTTCTGCTACAATGTCATATGGCGCACTTGAGTATGATGTTGTTGTTACAGAATTACATGCTGATGATTTTGTAATTAAAGATGTGGTATAGATTACCAGCTCATAAAACAGGGGTGTTATTTGTGCCAGACTCTGTGCATTCCTCTTGTTTCTGTTGGAGGCGACTACGTAAAGCACATCACAGAGCACTTCGCTTTACAGAGCAACTGTGATCATTTCTCCCTCTGTTCGGAGAGTGCTCAGCCGGTGCTTTCCCCAAAGACACTTTGACTTGCTGTGATCAGAAGGTCCTGCTTATAATAGCGGGTTGTTTTGTTTTTAGGTAAGTGACAGCTTGCTCTTCGATACATCAGATGAGGAGGAGTTGAGAGAACAGCTGGACATGCACTCGATCATCGTCTCCTGTGTGAATGAGGAGCCCCTCTTCACTGCAGATCAGGTACAAGGGAGAAACTCACCAGTGGAAGGAAAAGGGAGCTTGGGCTGAGAAACAATTTCTTCCTGTGGCAGTTAAGTGGTGGGTTGTGGAAGTCCGCTTGTCTTCCCACTACTTCCTGCTTATGTAGGCTCAACAGTCGGCTCCTCCACTGGGAGGGGAAGAAAGGATGTCACCTGAAGCAGGCGGGATTGTGCTAGCTGGAAAGATTTTCTGGTATACACAGTGATCAGCATTGCTAGAACAGTACAGCGAGGTACTTGGGGAGTGTTACAGGAAAGTCAGAAAAAACATTGTGACTTTTATTATTTCTTTAGATTTAGCCAGACATGGGCCCTCTATACTATATTTGTGTAGAAATTACCTAGTTTCTCTGAAACCTATGCAAAAATCATTAGTGCTTATTAGGATGTACATATTGTGATATGTACTGTAGGAAGAAGTGAGCATTATTCCTGTGGAATGCTCTGGTAATGCCAACCCTCTGTTCATGCAAAGCCAGTTGAATCAGCTTCCTCGTTTTCTGAATGTTCTTCCCGCTTCTGTTGTGTTGCCCAAATGGGATGCAAGAATTGCTCCCTGAAATAGAACTCTAGTTCATGGCTGGGTGGCCTGTCCCTTCTACCGCACTGTATTTTTAGGCTGGAGAATGAGGTCAGTGAAGAGATATATGGTGGTCAGGTTGGGAGGGGTGCCCTTTACAACGTGTCATTTTGGTGCTCCTTAGTTATACTTGAAGTTGGATTGTTCTGGGCCTGGGGAGAGCGAGGTGCTTACAAAGCAAGATAATAGCTTAGAAGGCTGAGCGGGGGTGAGGGAGATATTCCAGGGGAATGTGGGACCCTGAGAGAGCATTGTCTCCTCAGTAGATGGCCTGACTACCATGAGCTGTTCCTGCTTTTAAGACTTAGAGAAGCGATTGCATGGCCTGGGTCAGGTGCCTCATTGTCCTGTGCTTCAGTGCCTGGAAGATCGTATTGCTAATTGACATAATCCCTACCTCCTTCGGGTTTACTTTTGTTTTTCCTCATTGTAAGTGTCACATGTTAAGCTTGCTGACTCACATTGTATTTTTTCTAATAGGGTTTTTTTTTTTTTTTTAACTAAGGTCTGATTTTCTAACTACTGTAATTTTTCTGGTTTTCCTTAAGTTTTCTCTGAGTTCTATATCCTTCTCAACTTTCGGAATCTGGACCAGGGCAAGATGCTGTTGTCAAATTTGAGCAACATTGCATATGACACTGGGTCATTGTTTAAACAAAGGCAGATGTATTTCTGAAATTTTACTACTTTCGTGCGACTTTTTGTAAGCTTCCATATTTTGAGTAATTTTTGAATAGCCCTTAATCTTCCATTGAACTAATATATGGAATTTTTTCTGCTGTTAAAAGAGAATTTTGCTGCCATTGAGGTAATTTCTTGCTTTATATGTAACTTTTTAATTGTTATATTTTCTAAATTTTATGTCAGTTTGACTAAATGGCTTCACACCGAGCACTTGCTTGGGTATAAATTTTCTGTCCTTCTGTGTAACTGTAACTGTGGTCTGGTTCGGCACGTCTGAAGTAGATCACACGTGTGTTTAGAGCACCGTTTCTCAGTTGTGAGATCTGATAGGGCCTGCTGAATCATGGCGGCCGTATTGAATCCCATTCTATTTAAGTTTGTATTCAGTATATTGTAAATTCTTTTGGATAAACTGTTCACTCTTACGGTCCAGATTTGATCACTTAGAGCATGCTCTCCGCACACTGTCGATTAATGGAGAATCCGGTGTGCTCCGGCTCTGGCTGCCTCGTGAATGCTGTGTCCCAGGCGGGCCGCTTTCCACATGCATGTGATTAACAGTGGTGTGTATGTTTTGGAAGGTTATTGAAGAAATTGAAGAAATGATGCAGGAATCCCCTGACCCGGATGACGATGAAACGCCCACGCAGTCAGATCGGCTTTCGATGCTTTCCCAGGAGATTCAGACTCTTAAGAGGTCTAGTACGAGCAGTTACGAAGAGAGTAAGGAACCTTACTTAAATCAGTGCTCTTTGTGCTTTTTTATCTGTCTCAAGCATCTAGTGTGCCTGTCACCAGAAGTCTTTGATTCTCCCTGGCTGGCTTGCATGCCCTTCCCCACCATCCAGTGACACTGGGGACACGTTTGGATCAGGCACTCTGTCACATTCACCTCTGAACCCTGCATTAGTCAGCTCGGGCTGCTGTGACGAAGTGCGCAGGCTGGGCGGCTTAAACAAGAGACACCCGTCTCCTCGCAGTTCTGGAGGCGAGAAGCCTGGGACCCAGGTGTCGGCAGGGCTGGGTTCTCCTGAGGCCTCTCTCCTTGGCCTGCAGACGGCTGTCTTCTCTCTGTCCTCACATGGACTTTCCTCTGTGTGCATCTGGGCCCTCGTCTCATTCCGTAAGGGCCATGGGTCACACTGGATCTGGGCCCACCCTTGTGACCCCATTTTAACTCCGTTCTCTCTTTGAAGATCCTCCTCCAAACAGTCACTTTCCGAGGTACGGGGGTGAGGAATTGGGTGATGTCCGGCCTCTCCCTTGAGGGAAGGCTGAGAAAAACTGAGCGGGGCTTACAGTGCACAGTCTTCCTTGTCATCCTCACAGTCCGAAAACTCATGCTTTGGGCTCCGTGATTAAATATGCATTTAGTTTAATTCTTTCGAGAGGACTTCTCTCTCCAGATGTGCACCAGAACTCTGTTAAACTGCCTGCTGTCTTTTGTCAGCAGGTAGTCTCTGTACTGTCTGCTCTTCCCCGTGTTTGTTTTTTTCTTTGTATAGTTTTGAAAGCCTTGACCGAAGTATTATTTGTGGGATGATTGCTTTAGACAAGTAAAATAATTGTTACACTTCTCAGCCATTTGAGAAGTAACCGTACCCACCCACCCCCACGTGGACCTGCCCACCAGAAGGTTTAGGCTTCCGAGATCACAAACCAGTTAATTGCCTAGAATATGGTGTTGCTCTGTAGCATGAAACACCCTCTGATCCTCCCTTGAAACGTGTTTGTCTTAGTATCTGCTGTGCTTTGCTCTTGGTCACAGGAGTAAAAAGGCTCTCAGTATCTGAGTTAAATGAGCTCCTGGAAGAAATCGAGACTGCCATTAAGGAATACTCTGAAGAGCTGGTGCAGCAGTTGGCCTTGCGAGATGAACTGGAGTTTGAAAAGGAAGTGAAAAACAGCTTTATTTCTGTTCTCATTGAAGTGCAAAACAAACAGAAAGAGCACAAAGAAACAGCCAAAAAAAAAAAGAAACTCAAGAATGGCAGCTCTCAGAATGGGAAGAATGAGAGGAGTCATATGCCGGGCACAGTAAGTGATGGTTTGCAGGCGGCATGGTCCAGTGGAAACGGTTTCCATGGTAATCCCAGCACTCCAGCCAGGAGCGGTGGGCTGGCCTCCATGTGCAGGCCAAGTGGGGTGGGCTGCTGCTCACCAGGGCGTTCAAGGGATTCTGTTCAAGAATACCACCGTGCTCAGCGCCTTCAGAGAGGAGCGTTTGTGGTGGCAGCACCGTGGTCATCGGGGTGATTCCATGCTGAAGTGTTTAGGAGGAAGAGGCGGAATAAACAAGGGGGGTGTCTTGAAGGAAGAAGCTTTAGAAGTGACCATTTTAATACATGAAAATGTTATTGGTACTCATTTATGTTTGGCTTATGAAGGGAATTATTATTTTTCTTATTTTTGCTTATCTCTCACGAGTTGTAGATAAAATATTAAAAGGGGCACATTGAGAGCTGGCCGAGCTGTGCTGAGCCTAAAAGCACAGATTGGTCTGTAAACAGCTTCCTCCTGATTATCAGGTCAAGTGGAACATGACGATGTACGCGACATCAGCCATCTGGCTTAGTACCTGGCGGACTAGAATATTACTGATTGGTGAAAGCAAGTTAGGATAGTTGAGTCTTTGACTCATATAGAGTTTTTTGTTTTCCGCTCCTTCACTTTTCTTAAGTGGTCCTATTAATTTTACTCGATTAAAATTTATCGTAAACATTAACTGTTAATTATGAGATGCATTTCCTTATGGCTCTTAATGGTCTTTCCTTTTGCTTTATTCAGCTGAGACCTAGTATATTGCCACCGTCATTTTGTTTTATGAAAGAGTGTGTTATTTGTAGAGTGTAGTGATCAGACAGAGGGACCCATTTTTCTGAAGGGCATGCACTTTTCTTAGTTTATGGTGTTGATAACGTGGCAATGCAGATCACCACAGACTGGCTGTAATGATTGCAATAATACACATTCTGTCTTCAAGTTCCGATTTGTTGTTTCTAAAGAAAACTTATCAGAGAGGTAGATCTCGTTGACCACAGGCTGACGGCGTCCAGGAAGGAGGATGCGGTCTGGGTTGCCGGGCCACCGGCGAGCAGTGGACACAAACAGAGAGTCTCACCATTTATAGCCTGTTCATTGTGCTGTGCTTGGCCTGTGAGTAAGTGGGTGTTTCCTTAGAGCAGTGTCTATGGTGCATTTAAAGGCTATAGCTTATCATCCAACTTTGGAAAAGTTCTCAGATGTGTGGTACAAAATGCTCTCAAGAAGCTGCAGTATTTATTAGTGAACAGGTGTTTAGTCACTTCTGGTGACTACTCTGGGGAAAAAGACACTAAAACCCCCCCAAACATTTATTTGAATACATAATCCTGGGAAGTTTGCTTAAAAATAAGATAAAAGCTTATATCTTATTTTTTAAATCGCACCCTTTAGATGGCCCAGTTATATGAGTGTGGTTAAATAAAATGTCTAGTTAAAAAGTCACAGATAGCATGGTTGGTAATTTCTGCCCATCTGCATTTAGGGATTACTTGTTAATTTTCCATTTATTGGTGTTAACACTTGGCTTCAGGAAATAAATTTATCCCTAAAGAAGTTTAAAGGCTCCCACATAAAAAGAGGGTGGATTCATTGTGTCATTTTACATGGCTTTTATATTGAGAAATGGCAAGGCAGCATGTAGGTCTCATTTGAACCTCTATTAGTCTTGAAATAGATTCATAATAACCATATATATATATATATTTTTAAACAATATTTGGACTTGTGAAGGTTGCCTCTTGAACCCTGGCTTTATTTGTGTCAAAACCGTTAGTCAGGCTAGGAACAGCGTTGCTAAGCTTGTGGTGCTGGTTCCCTCAAGCCTAAAATGCTGGAGAAAGACCGCCCCCTCTGTGAGATGAGGAGCCTGAACTCTGTGACTCCGAAAGTAGGGGCAGGTGACTCAAGGAGCCCTGAAGTGAAGTGGTCAGCTGGAGAGGCAACATCCCGAAAGATGTTACCTTCCCAGACATTTTTTTGTGACATGTGGTTAAGGTACATGATCTCTGTGCCTTAGTCATCATCAGTGACACTGATGTCTGAACACTGGTGACCTTTTTACAGATGCGCGATATCTGGTTTCTAATAACATTAGCCATCCTTTTCTTTCTTCCTTAGGTATTTTTTGTTTCGTTAGCAGGACTTGGACTTTTCCCTTCCATTTTTCCTTATGTGTGTATCATTGAAACAGAACATCAGTTTGTAGTTGGTGTAACACTTTATCCAGAATTGCTAGCTTGTTCTCTTTGCTATAAGGATGGTGTAATGAAATATCTGGGTGGGAATAGAGCAGAGTTAAACTTTTTAGGTGTTAATTTTGGAGACATGTTTTGTTTTAAACATTTTCTGCAGTGAAAAACACTGGGGGCTTAGGGTTGCTATTTAGAGCATTAGAACATTTCTTTGGGATCATGCAAATACTGTTAGATGTGGAGTAAAATATTGAGTCTCACAGAAAAGTGAATTGTTATCATAAATTGTTAGAATTTTCAGAATTGTATGCCATCTGTTGGGTAAGCTAGAGCAATATTCATTCATTCAGCAGGTGTTTGCAGAGCATCTCCCGTGTGCCAGGCCTGCCGTAGATCAGGGTTGAATGAAACGGACCAAGCCCGTGGTCTCCTGGAGCGCACATCCTAATGAGGGAGACAGGCAACAAACAAGGAAAGGGACAGACAATATACTTCCAGCAGTAAGAAGTGTAACCAAGAGAACGGAAGGCTGGATCAGGTGGTCCGTGGTGACGCTGTTAGGGAGCTGCTTTCGTCAGGGCGGTCCCCGCGTCACTGCCCCTCCTGACTGGCACGCTCCCTGTCCCGTTGCCACTCTCCCTTTGGAGGCCAGGTTGGAGGAGTAGGTCTTCTCTTTGAAAAACGACACTCAGGAGAGCAGGAAACTTTCTCTCTCCCTTGTCTTGTCCTTCGGCATCTGGAAGAGCAGAGGGGCGGGTGGAGACTGGAATGATTAACGGGCACCGTCTGTTCTTCGGTCTGCGTTTCTCTGAGCTGGCTGGGCTGCTCCGGGCATCTGTGTAGGCCACTGCCTTTTTGTGGAGTGGCCCTCCTTCCCCCGCTTCCTCTGTTCACTTGGATTGTTTCTTAAAACTCATCCTTCAAAAATCATGGTCAAGAATCGTCTTTCTTTCTTAGAACCTTCGCCAAGATCCCTCCAATGTGGAATTGATGACTCTCTCTTTTTGGGGTTAGTGTTACTGCTCTTCACTACTTCTGGTAGCACCGTTGTACCATAGTGCAAGTTTTTTGTTTTTGTCCTCCTGAAAACATGGTTCCCTAAGGATGGGAAATGTAACTTTATTTTCCTGGTATCCTTAGGTCCAACATCAGGAACCTAATACGTTTCTGCTGAATAAATGCATAAAAGGAAGGTAAACTTGCAAGTCTGTATTTTGACCCTGGATGGTTCTACCCAGTGCTAAGTCCATGGAGGCTGACTAGACTGTTAAGAGCTTTGTGTTAAGAGCTGTGTTTGAGTCCTGCCTCTGCCACAGGAGACACATGCCCTCGGGTTTCAGAAGAATGAAGTAACACGTGCAAGACTAGCATACATCCTGAGTGAATGCTGGTTTTTATATGTCCAGCTGCCTCCCAGACATTTCTCCTGAATATGTAGTAGGAATTGGGAATTACCCTACCAAACCAAAGTTACCATTTTTCTGAAGTTGAATTTATTTCTTATATACTCTATTCATTCACGGAAACAAATGGAATTTTTAGGTTAAAGTGTATATAGTTTTAATGGGTTTAAAATAACTGGCCTTCCACATTGTTCTATAGAAATGTAACCCAGTCTATAAGAGTGTGTGGCCGTTTCCCCACACCTCCAACCAGCAATGGGTATTACTACCTTTTCATATATTCTGATCTGACAGGCAAACAGTGTTTTTTTTTTCCTGTTGTTTGTATTCTTTTTGTGAGTTGCCTACTGTGTCACATTTGAGATGTTTTTCTTTTTGTGAGGGTATAACTACTTCTAATGTCACAGTACCACACTCTACTGTAACCATTGGCTTCAGTCCGTCCTTGGAAAGAACACAGGCTTCCCAAAGATCACTCGCATCGCTTCCCCAGCATCTCACCTCGTTTGTGGTGCTTTGCTTATCACTCAATGCATGATTGTTGAATTGGAACTTAACTGTGAAGGAAATGGAATCCCAGAGGATTTGGATTTGTAGTGTTTGAATTATTGTTCCGTCAGGGATTTTCTTTTTTGCCAGTCTTCTGTTTATGTCAAATAGGTTTCACAGGCCTTTGCATTTCAGTGGCAGGTCACATGAGTACAAGTTGAAGTACATCAGTTATGCTTGAGTTCAGAGGTGGTGGTCATCTTATCTGAAGTTACATTGGGGTACACCTGCTTAGCATCAGACCTTAGTAAGCTTATATGGATGAAAATGGACACACTTCCTCCTTCAGAATTCTGCAACATTTTTAAATCAAATGTCATATCACGTGTAAGTGTGCTGATTCTGAGTTTAGGGTTGAAAAGACAGGAATCTATAATATCTTTTCTATTTGCCACAATCACATTGAACTTCAAGAGGAAGCTCGACTGTGTTGCTTTCACCATCAGCAAGGATGTAGATAATTGCTTCAGTCTAACTTGAAGTTTATTCTGAAAATTTGGGGGATATTAGCAATCAGCAACTCAGCCGTACAAAGAATCCCATTACTCGAATTTATTGCTTCGTGGGGGCTGGGAGGATGACTGCTTAAAGATGGGAGAGAGCTCTTTCTTTATATATTTTTCTTTCACAGATATGTTTCCCATCTGTCTTTATGACTCACTTAGCTCACATTATGACTAATAGTCAATCTATTTTGTTTCTCTTTTACATGCAAAAATGTCCAAGTAATAGTTTTCCATTTAATCCTGACCAAAGCTGATTTTAAGATAAGAGAAATTTATTTTTATTTAGACAGCTATACTAGTAGATCATTTGGAAGTTATTCTGATTTATGCTAGCTCTAAGCCTA